CCCCCCCCCCCCCCCCCCCCCCAGTGGATCAGCATTCCTTTCGCCCTGTTAAATCCAGCCGTGACAGACATCACCATCACTGCGAGCCACGAAGTTTACCAGGAGCCTTGGCTGGGGCATGTAGAAACACCAGATATCCTGACCTGGATAGACAACTTCCTCTTACTGGTATGGATAATGCCTTCATTGCTGTATGAGGAGAGACTGAGTAGACTCATTGGAATTTGGAAGAATGAGGGGGGAATCTTACAAAAACATAGAAAATTATGAAGGTGATGGATAAGATAGAAGTAGGAAGCTTGTTTGCACTGGTGGGTGAAAGGAGAACTAGGGGGCACACCCACAAAATAAGGGGGAGCAGATTTAAGACTGACTTGAGGAGGAATTTTTCACCCGAAGGGTTGTGATTCTGTTGAAATCCCTGCCCAGTGAAGCAGTTGAGTTACCCCTTTGATTATTTTTAAGGCAAAGATAGATTGGTTTTTGAACAGTAAAGGAATTAAGGGTTATGGTGAGCAGGCGGGTAAGTGGAGCTGAGGCCCACGAAAAATCAGCCATGATCTTACTGAATGATGGAGCAGGCTCGAGGGGCCAGATGGCCTACTCCTGCTGCTATTTCTTATGTTCTTATGGCACAGTCATCTAATGCCACGGTGATATATGTCACCATGCAGCCGGCAAATCAGTTGTTAATCACATTAAAGTAAGAATGCATCAGATAATGTCTACCATTGTATAACATTCTTCACAGGACTGCAATCACAATACAATTACTCTCCGTGCTTATTTTCAGATGTTGGGTGGGATCCCGTGGCAAGTATACTTCCAAAGGGTCCTTTCTGCTTCTTCTGCAACTTATGCTCAGGTCCTCTCCTTTCTGGCTGCTTTCGGTTGCGTGGTCATGGCTGTCCCGTCTGCACTTATCGGTGCAATTGGCGCATCTACTGGTAAAACACCTGGGTCTTCACCGTGTCTTTTAAGTTATATCTGAACCATTCTGAGATTCTGCAGACCTGAATATTACAAGAGTCATTTAAAGCTTTTCATTAAAAAAAACTGTTAAAGTTGTCATTTTAATTATTTGAATGAAGGTATGAATTTTTTTTTTCCCTGATTTGATTTGTTACTAAAGCTGAATTGGTGATTACAAATCCAGGAGTGAATCATTGAGGAACATCTTTGTATTTTACATTATTTCTATAACAAATCTGAGATAAATTGCACATTTCATTATGATTTGTACCCATTATGTCAGTGGATGATGGAAAACAAGTCATTATTAGATTTTTAAAGCTTAAGTGTTCTGCTTAAGTATATTTCCCATGCAAACAGACCACTGGACGAGATAATGCAAAATATAATGAATGGCAGCCTATGAATCTTGAATGGGACATTTGTTCATGCACAGCCTCACTCCAATTAAATGTTAATTGTGATGGATGAATCTTCTAAAAAAAAACAGTTACCAGGGAATGTTTTGACTAGCTGTATAGATGGTTTTCAATATTTAATTAAAATGATCTAACAAAGGAGTCAAATATTCAAAATGTTCCATAAGCATAGCTATATAATTTTCATTTTCTTAAACATCACATAAAGCCCATATATAATAAACATTTCTTTTTTAAAAAAATACCTTTCCAAATTCCAGTGGGAATAGCTTTCTGGAACAATCCATTGAAACATAGCACTGACAAGTGTGTGAACTATGATGCTACTACCGATAAAAATCAAAATATATTTTCTGTGTAGGCAAAATCTCTGATGCAATTTTTACTATTCAATTGTTTCTGATTATAAAAATAATTCAATTTTGGAAACAAACAAGGGTTACAGTAAAAAAGTAACCAAGTAATCATATTATCATAATATTTGCTTCTATTTGTATCAAGTGTTTATACTTGTCCAGATACAAAATAGCAGGTAATTGTGTAATGGGTGCAATTTATGTTCAGACAGTCCTTTTCTCTATATAGACTGGAATAAGACTTCCTACGGTTTGCCAGATCCCAAGAACAACAATGAGACTGATATGATTTTGCCAATAGTACTGCAGCATCTATGTCCAGCCTACATTTCATTTTTTGGTCTTGGAGCTGTCTCCGCTGCAGTGATGTCATCGGCAGATTCTTCCATTTTGTCAGCAAGTTCCATGTTTGCTCGGAATATTTACCATCTTGCATTCAGGCAACAGGTAAGTTTGAATCTAAACAAGACAATTACTCATACCAACACGTTCTTACAAGTGTAGAAGTACTGGATGTTTTGTGTACATTTAATTATAATTCATGCAGCAAATGGGCAGGTGAGAATTTTTTTCAAATAATATTTATTGTCTAGAATTGGATTTCCTTTCTGTCGACCACCTTTGTGATATTGAATATTAAGTGATATAGGACATTATGAAAATAATAAGACTCCACATGGAGTACTATGTCCAGTTTTGGGCATCAGACTTTAGCAAAGATGGCAACATCTTGGAAATGGAGCAGAGGAGATTTGCTAGCATGGTACTTGGAATGCCAACCTTTAACTATCCAAACAGCCTAGAAAAACCTGAAATTGTTTGTTTTTAGAAAAGCAAGGTTTGAGGAGAGATTTTATGGGAGGGGTTCAAACTTCTGAAAGACTTCTTTAGATTTCATAGCAAGAAATTGCTTTCAATGGCAGAAGAGTAAGTAACCAGAGGGCACACCTTTGTGGTAATTGAGAAAATAACCAGGTGAGTTGAGGATTTTGTTTTCACAGTGAGTTGTTATGATCTTAAATGCATTGCTTTAAAGCACAGCAGAAACACATTTGATAACAACTTTTGGAAGAGAATTGGCTGAACACTTGCAAATGGAAAAATGCAGAGCTGTTGGAAAGGACAACACAATGCAACAATTTGGATAGCTACCTTAAACAGCAGTTACATACAAAATGGAGTCCTGCTGAAATGTATCGTTCTATGATTCTACAATGCTTTGCAACTAAGCATTAGGTAATGCTGTTGAGGTTGAAAGTATATTGAAGCACAGAAAAGTAGGCGCAATCTCAGTGACGGAGTGTGATAAAGAGGTTACAGCTACCTACAAATCTATATATAAAATTGTTTCTGTGTAACTTAAGAAAACCCATATCACATGTCTATACTACATTGAGTAATATTCTTTTCTTAATATAATTGTTCATTGCAGGCTACAGACAAAGAAATATTGTGGGTAATGCGAATCACTGTATTTCTATTTGGAGGAGCTGCAACATCTATGGCACTGTTGGCTCAATCTATCTACGGTCTATGGTATCTGAGCTCCGATCTCGTCTACGTTATTATCTTTCCTCAGTTAATATCAGTACTCTTCATCAAGGGAACAAACACATACGGCTCCATCGCTGGATATATCATTGGTTTTTTGTTTCGAATTAGTGGTGGCGAACCATATTTACATCTGCACCCATTTGTTTGTTATCCAGGATGCTATTTAGAACATAGCTTTGGAGGTGAACCGATCTACGTTCAACGATTCCCCTTTAAAACCATGTCAATGTTATTCTCCTTCTTAGGTAACCTTGGCGTTTCATATCTGGCTAAACACCTGTTTGAAAGTGGAATATTGCCACCAAAATTAGACTTTCTTGACAGTGTTGTGTCACGACATAGTAAGGAAAACATGGACAAAACAACCTTGGTGAACCATGACAACATTACTTTGTCAGAGCTGGTGCACGTTAATCCAAAACACAGTGCTTCAGATAATGCTGCTTACAGCAATAAGGAAGCATTTGATGACACTGAGCCAAATCCTGAATTTTCCAAATCAGACAATGATTGATCCTCAGATCCCGTTATCTATTGAGTTCAGTGCAATCATAATCAACCAAGGACCATACATTAACAAACTAAAATAGCATTTTAGTAGTTACTATATTTTTAGAAAATAATATTCTTTATATCAGTGCTTTACTGATGGTTGTTCACTTAAATACTGTTGTATAGTATTGTTTTAATTTATACACATGAAGTCAGATTAAGCTATAATTTTGAATCTGAATTGGTAACAGACTACTTTATATTGTACATTGCAGAAACAAGATATCATCATTTATATGGCTACGAAACATTATATAGAGAGGATGGCATCATGAACTATCACAAATTCATTGGTCTGTTGTTCTCCCTATTCATGGGTCAAACTTTGTAATGAACTGGACTCAGCTAGACAGCTAACTTATCACTTGTTAATGAATTCTTAATTGTAATTTACTATTCCATTTACATACACTTATATATCTAAATACATCCCCAAGCCTATACAAATATATGTACATATAGAATGCAATTTTTAACTTATAAAATAGCAGAGTGTTCAATAATCCAGTTAATGCAATTTATTACTTACTTGTTTCAACTATAATATGTATTCCTTTCCTGTTAATTTGGGAAAATTGGTGAAAATTAATTCTTGCAATTCTTTATTACTCATTGCTAAAACCAAATGAAACAAGGAAAGTTGGGGGTGGGGGAGAGAGGAGGTCATCACCTACAACAATAGAACCCATCTTTAGAAATAAGTATAGCCATGAATGCCATAAACCTTTGGCATTTTATTGTAGAACATTATTTGCACCTTAAAATATGCAGTATCGAATAATTCAGATTATCACCAGTCCCTGATAATAACACAATGATCTGTCATTTGATAAAAAGAGCCAATCGGTCAAAGCAGTATATTAGTTACAGATGTTATGGAGGCCAAATAAAATGGCAGTAGGTTTCTTCATAAACATATCTATTTTTCTCTAAGGCCAAAAAATCAAATATAGCAATGCATTAATGATATGTTAAAATTTTATTTTATACTATACATTGTATAATACAGTTTAAGTAAGATATTACAGATTGAGTTCTATAAAATGCAATGCAAGGTTTGCACTTAAAAGTTTTAATAATCTGTTGATTTTAGGGCATAGTTATTGTTCATTGTAAGTGATATCTTGACACTTAGCCAGTTGGCAAATAAATTGAAATACAATAAAGTTATTTTTACCTGTTAGAACACACATGTATCATAGCTTTGCAGAATGGTTATATATCCTTTCTTTAAAACTGTGGGACCAAAATTACTCAGCGGTTCTACCTGTTTCCTGCAACAGTTGCAAAAGGATACTATCAGACCCATGGGTCAGATGACTAGCCTTACAAAGAAGCTGAAGAGCAAATGGTGTGTAGGCAGAGTCATATTGGACTCAAAATAATAACTCTGTTTCTTCACAGATGCTGCAGGACCAACTGAGTTTCTCTAGCAATTCCTGTTTTTTATTTCAGAATTCCAGCATTCGCTGTATTTTACTTTTAGTATTATAGCTCCATATTAACTTGTTGCCGCCCCATTAATTCTGCAAATTTTGGTGAAGTCAACATTAGACCAAAGTAATTGTGTCCTGAATGATTTTAGCAGCTATGTTCTGAAAGTGAATGTCGTATAAAGTACTATTCTGTTTCAACAATTAGGCATGTTTAATCTTAGAGAAGCATTGAAGTATCCTTATTTCAATCTTTTCTAATTAAATCGTGTTCTTGTTAATATGTTAGATAGTCTGAATGAATCTGTTCTTCTAATCATCTACCATCCTTTTCATCAATTGAATTAATGAATGTAGTTGATAAAAAAAACTGATCTCAATTCAAGTGTCCTACATCTTTTCTTGGAGTTAGTTTTAATCCACCAAATGTACATGTTTCCTCGTTCATTGATGTTTTATTGCACATTCCTTCTGCAACCTTAAGTAAGACAATTTATTCAAGCATAATATGCCTATCTATAAGATTTTACAGTCCTCCATCATGATATCCAATTGCTTCTTAAATGATTGAATGGTTTTTATTTCAATTAATTATCAGTTTGTACAACGAACACTATTTTCATAAATAAATTGTTAATGTCAGTGCTAGATTGGCTTTTGACCAGTTTCAGTCTGTGCTCAATTGTACTTCTGCCATGGTTTAAAATTGAAGTCCTGTTCTAAATTTACTTTTTTTAAACTTGTTCCTATTTTATATACCTCAATTAAATCTCCTCCAAATTGCTTTGTTTGTATTATGATAGGCCCAAGTCTCTACAACCTTTCCTCATAATTCAGCCTGAATTAAAGAATCGGTCTGCTGGATCATCTATATGCTCCCTCCTGAGTTTGACCGTGCTTTGTTGTTTCTTGATGACCAAAATTAAGTACAATGTTCAAGGTATGATATGTGTGGAACACTAGAGTCTTAATATTCAAATTATATCAACCTTCTACATTGTATTCTGCTGGTTCTAACAATATAGCTCATAATTGCATTTTCTTAGAATCTTAGAATCCCTGCAGTGTGGAAACAGGTCCTTCAGCCCAACAGGTCCACACCAACTCTCAGAACATCCCACCCAGACCCATCCTCCTATAACCCACCTAATCTACACATCCCTGAACACTATGGGCAACTTAGCACAGCCAAGCCACCTAGCCTACACATCTTTGAATTGTGGAAGGAAACTGGAGCACCCAGAGGAAACCCATGCAGACATGGGGAGAATGTGCAAACTCCACACAGACAGTTGCCCAAGAGTGGAATCGAACCTGGGCCCCTGGCGCTGTGAGGCAGCAGATTTTGGGCCCACTATCAATTGACACATTAAAAGTTCTTAGTTTTGTTTCAACTTTACCAACACCATTCTTTGAGCACACGTGAAGCCCAATTATTTTCTTCTTATATTCAATACCTTGACTTCTTCCTCTTGAATCTTATCTGCCATTATTCTGTTCATTTAGACACCTTATTTAATTAATACTAATATCCTTGGACAGTTTGCAAATTTGACCAGTCTGAATGCAATTGATATAAATTCTTTTAAAAAAGTCCCAATAATGGTATGATATTTGCTTTGGCTGTTTTAATTTTTCATCACAACAGTGCTCTGCAACAAAATGTTCACCGTAGCCTAACCTTCATTCAATTCATTTTAGTTTCATCATTTCTTTACTTCACCCAGGAAAAATTAAGCTTGAATACAATCATAGAACTGTTTAGTTGGTCCAAGTATTGCTAAGAAATCAGTGAGACATGTAGTCATTCATAGTCACTTGAAAATGTTCATTGAAACCATCTGGGGTAACATCGTGAGTTTACACCATTAGCAAACAAAGCTATAATGGTGGAATTAATGCAAGAAGTAAAAAAAATGATAGCGTTCATTTGGAAATCCTGAAGTTTTCTAAGAATGACTGGGATTGCCAAAGCCATTCACTGTGCAGGATAAATGAAACTCCAGTGGAGACCAGTTAAAAATGAGAAAATCAGAAGTAGTGTCAGAAATTGAACTTTTTTGACAGAAGTGATCATAAGCTTCTGTGAAAATAGATGGTTTATAATAGGAACTGTGTTCTTAGTACTAGAAGGATTGGAAGACTTAATAACAAGATAGGTGATGATAATCAAAATGTGACAATTGGATGCGGGGGTGGTGGGAAGCAAATGATCTTTTTGTTTGCATAAAAAATTTCCAAGTATTATTTTGGTAATTCATTTGCAACAATAAAATTCAAGTATTCAGGGATTATTGATCAGGCATAAAATAATTATTACAATATTTTCATAATGATATTTTTTTCTGTGAGCAGAACTTTTGAAGTTTTTATTTTGGAGTTTCTGGCACAGAAAGTTAGAGAACAGAAGGAATGCATGTAACAAACAGAAAATCGTAGACAAACACTGAAGGTCAGGCGGCATCTGTGGAGACAGCAACAAAGTTAATGTTTTGGGTCCAATATGATTCTTCTTCAGAGTTCTAAGTATGAATTATATTGGACTCGAAATGTCAACTCATTGTCTGCTGTGTTTTTTCAGTATTCTCTGTGTTTGTGTCAGATTTCCAGCTCCACAGTCCTTTGCATTTATAGGAACGTATGTAAACTGTTCCAAACATTATAGCGAGTATGTAGAGCATTGTGTGAGTTTTGCCTATGATTAATCATTTTGAAGTGTGATATCCTTAATTATCTAACATTCATTTAATTATCAAAGGGGATAATGCACTTGCAATATAAAATTGTCGATTTTGAGATACCCGCAATATGTAAAATTATTGTAAATTAAATGAGTGGTTTGCATTGATAATTCTGTCAGTGGATGAGCAACCTCTTAGCTTTTCTGTGGATCATTTCTTTAAAATTACTTAATATCATAGAATATTATTTACTTTTATTCCATTCAGATATATTCAATCAGATGTGGACCATATCCGTAGATAATTTAATATATGGTACACCTCAGATGGTTAGACACAATGTTGTAAATGTACAGTGTAAATACATATAATGTATATTTTTGTCTGCCAGAGTTGTCATCTGAGGATTCTATCTAGCATGATTGTATAAAACACTATTTGTGTATCCATTATTTGTGAAATAGTATAGCTGTCAAATATGATATTCAGGAAGCTAACCGTGAGATGTTACTTGTCTTCCTTCCCACTAGAACAATGATTGTTTGTAAAGTATCCATTATCAACAAATTCTGATGTTCATTATGCAATATTCATCAAATAAATTATGTGATCTAAGAAATGCTTACATGTTTAATATATAGCCTCAGCTTGCTTAACTAATAGGGGACCCATACTTATAGTGAGGTCAGTTATTGTGTTACTTAGTTATTAATTTCAGTGTCAAATTTACCGTGAAAATCCACTGTGCTATATTCCTCCTGTAACGCCTTGGATATATGGTGCCTGTGACATGGTGAAAATGTCTCATAGCACTCTACTGAAAACAAAGAAAATCAGATATATTATAAATGATTCAGTGGAGGCGGAAGT